CGCTTGGAGAGTTCCTCTTGGGCACCCGGGGCCGGCGCGCTATGCAGGAGGGGAAACCTGGCAGCCAGCTCAGCCAGGGCCAGGGGCCCTCGCTCCTTTGTCTCAGGGAGCCCCACGGCTGTAGGGGGAGCAACAGGGTGGGTGCCCAGGGGATGAGGAGCTCCCCATTCTAGGACAGAGGGGCCCCATAGAAGCCATGTGGGGAGTGGGAGGGCAGGCTGTGTTGCAAGAGCTGCAAGGTGGGCGGCGGAGGTTGGTGGGGGTTGGGTTGAAGGAGTGTGTGTGAGTGTGTTTGCGTTAGTGTGTATAGCTTCTCCCTGGGTTCCAGCTGGAGTTTAGAGGGTGTGTGTGTGTGTGTGTGTGTGTGTGTGTGTGTGCGCGCGCGCATCCACACTCAGAGCTTCTCTCTGGCTGGCTGAGGTTTAGAGAGGGGGGCTGTGTTAGTGTGTGTGTAGGTGTGTGTGCGCGCGCACGCAGCTTCTCTTTAGGGTCTGGCTGGCTGGGATTCAGAGCAAGGGGAGGTTGGCACGGTTGGCTGGGGTTAGTGAGAGAACTTAAAGAAAATGAGTTTTTAAAAAATAAAGATTATTTGTTTGGTCAAGAGAAGGTTTAGGAACCCACCCAAAAGAGAGAAGGCTGCCTGGCAGTTCATGTAGATTTTGGGGTGAAGACTGGTTTGTGGATACAGGAGAGATGAAAATCTCTGTAAACGGAGAAACAGGGATGTGGCTGTTGACCTCAATTTTTTTTTTTTTTTTTGGCACAGATATTCAGGAGGCCGGGCAAATATCATTCAAATAGAACTGAGCAACTTTAACATTAAACTTTTTTTCTGTGAGACATTACCTCAAATAGGAAATATTATGGATTCACCCAAAATGTCTTATTTGAATGCTATTTCTCTATCTGCTCTGTTTTGTTACATGGGAGGAACAAAGTAATTTTTTTCTTCATTATTCCTTATTAGCTGATTGCAAAACAAATTTTCATCCATGATACGTTCCATTTGATTTCAGTTCTCCCTAGGAGAACTCCCTTTCTGTGCTTATTTGAATTACTTTTTCTACAAACACAGAAAACCGGTGGGGAAAAAGATTAACGTCAACAGCCCCGTCAGTGCCTTTCGACCTGTCCCGATATAAATATTAACCATCCAAGTACAAACCCCATCAGTCCAGGCCACATGGCATGTGCTCTGTCAGTTCCCAACTATGAGAATCCTTTGAATACCTACAGAGCCCTTGCAAGTTTGGCAGACGAGTTTCCTAGGGCTTCGTTGTGCCAGGACAATGGGATGTGCCTGGAATTTGATTGGTTCTCATAAAATGGAAAGGGAGGCGCTTGCAAGCAGGGACAGTTAGGGCATGTCTACACAGCAGTCCTCTTTCAAGAGAGGAATGCACATGTAGGCATCTGAAACTGCAAATGAAGTGGGGATGTAAATATCCCGCACTCCAATTGCATAATCACGGACGGCCACTATTTCAAAACTAGCCAATTAGCCCGTTATAGAACAGGATTTTCAGGTCTCTCCTCCACGTCCTATTCCCTTTCTATCTCAGTCTTCTCTCCTGAGCCTCTGGTCTCCCACTGCGTCTCTCTCTCTCTCTCCTCCTCCTCCTCCCTCCCCCTCTCTCTCAGCCCTCCTCCGCCTTCTGCCTCTCTCTCTTTCTCTTCTCCCCTCCTGCCTCTCACTCTCTCTCTGCTCTCCGTCAGGGATGCACGCTCGTCCAGGCCTCGCCCCCTGGGCATGTACGTCACCGCTCCGCCACCCTTCGCCTCCCGCCGTGGTGCTCAGCTAATGTCTGAGCCGCTCAGCCGGGCTGCTGCGTGGGAGCAAGCAAATGCCAACATTAGCCACCCTAGTTCGAACTAGGGTGGCAGTGTAGACATACCCAGGGTTATTTCAGAAGAAGGGTTTTCTTTCGAAAGAACCGCATCTTAACATCATCTTTTATTAGCCATCCGCGATTATGCAAATGAAGCTCGGGATATTTAAATCCCCACTTCATTTGCAATTTCGGATGTCTACATTTGCACTCCTCTCTCCAAAGAGGAGTGAAGTGTAGACATGTCCTTGTACTGCACAATGCCCACAGGGTGGCAGCAGAAGCTGGAGGTGGGGACAGGGACCCAGAGCTATAAGCCCATTGGAATGGCAGCGGTGGAGAAAGGAACAGCTCTTTACTAGATAGTATTAGAATCCTAGGACTGGGAGAGACCTCGGGAGTCATCAAGTCCAGCCCTCTGCTCAAGGCAGGACCAATCCCAACTCAATCAACTCGGCCAGGGCTTTGTCAAAACGAGACATAAAAACCTCCAGGGATGAAGATTCCACCCCCTCCCATGGGAACCCAGCCCAGCGCTTCACCACCTCCTGGTGAAATAGCTTTTCCTAATCTCCAACCTGGACCTCTCCCACCACAACTTGAGTCCATTGCTCCTTGTTCTGCCATCCCTCACTACTGGTAACAGCGGGTATGTCTACACTACCCTCCTAGTTCGAACTAGCGGGGTAATGTATGCATACCGCACTTGCAAATGAAGCCCGGGATTTGAATTTCCCGGGCTTCATTTGCATAAGCGGGGCGCCGCCATTTTTAAAACCCCACTGGTTTGAACCCCGTGCAGCGTGGCTACACGGGGCACGAACTAGGTAGTTCGAACTAGGCTTCCTAGTTTGAACTACCGTTACTCCTCGTGGTTC